GAATGTAACAGTTCTAAAATTCTAGAAGAATGTAACAGGGAAAAAAAACATTATATTCTATACTCTGGCAGAAATAAATCATTCTTCAGCCTGAATACTAATTAGAATAAACACTGTTTTGATTTTTATTTCACAATACCTGATATTTATCTGCCCATGCATCAGTCATACTACACACATTTGCTTTAAGCTTTATGACTGTAACTAAATCCACCTCATTTAATCATTCTAATAAATCTGCATCTCAGTAGAAACCACTAAATGAGATATTAATAACACACTTAATATACCTGTTAGACAGACTATACAAGTAAAACACAGAAGCACAACGAAAAACATCTGCACGTGTTTAAGTGCTAGATTTCTGTTCATTCCCCACGACAAAGACAGGCAAAAAAAACCATCAACACACCCCATCTGTGTTTCCGACGAGCTGCCCCTGTTTACCCTACAAGTATATTCAAGGCCACTTCTATTTTTCTGATAATATATAAAGACTTCTACGGGCAGAATTTATACTTTAAAACCAGCATTTGGACAAAATACAAAAAGCTAGGGCAAGGCTTATATGCTACACCTGGGTGTCCTTGTACAAAAGAAAATAAGTGATTGCAACTAGGCCTTGATGGCTGCACAGTGTTGAAGCTGAAATGTCAGATCTATAGCCCCTACAAAATCTGGTGGGTGGGGTTTTGTCTGTTAGTTTTAAAGACATTTAATGCCAACTGTCATCAAATATTTTAGGGAACCTGCTGATGTTTCAATGTATCTTGGCTCCTTTCTTTGACTTCAGTCTGTGGTACAAAACACAAGCTCTATAAGAAGTATCTGCTAAATCCTATGACTGTACATCCAACAGCAAATATTCTCCAGCTTCCATCTCACCAAGGTAAAGTAGACAGTGGAGCATGAGGTCCTTTATGTTTTAACAAACAGCACATCCCACTTCAGCATGTCACTTCCACAGCATGAAGTGCAAGGCTGCCAAGCAGAAGTGGAACTAGAACTTACCAAGACAAAAAGCAGAGAAAGGCGTTTTCCCTGTATACATTTTCCAGTCTCCCAGATTGAAGCCCTGTCAAGATTTCGCACAGAAACACTTCAACAATACACAGATCAAGAGCCTCTAGTCTAAATATGGTTATTTATCTCCATGTTCAGTATCCTTGGCTCTTCAGCTGGAGTCCCAACAGATCTTTTATACATGACAGAGTTTAACTCCTGCACACAGCCCTGCCTACAGCTGATGGGTTATTCATAAAGCTGGTTGTCCTAGGAAGTTCAGACTTCTTTCATCTAACCATTGCCACTACACACGGATTTCACACAGGGTCCATCCCGACGGGCACACTGTGAAGTGCCACGTTGCACCAGGTAGTGTTTCGCCCAACACTTTTTTTTTTTTTTAAACTGGAACATTCAGTTGCTGTCAGTTTTTTCCGCCTCTATCTTCTACTCTAAGTTAATTGCCTTTATGCTGCACTATTATATCCTAACCTGAAGTTTAGTGAAATGGCTCCAACTCTCCTTATTCCCCTTTCACCTAGGAATTGTATAATTTATTTACAGAACCTACAACTTCTATTTCCTGAATTACTCAGCTCTTCTAAGTATTTGCAAAGTTTTCTTCATAGCAAAGAGCAACTTAAATCCGTAGATTCAGAATCTCTCTCTATTCAACCAGTCCTACCTCTGTCCCCGATGTAATTTCTTCCTGCAAAGGTCTCCCTATTTTACTTTTTCTTTTCTGAAGAAATCCTATGATATAATCAGTGTGATTCCGAGTCCAGATTTCTGTTAAATTTACCGGTGGTGATGGCACAGCATTGTCCTGCTTTGTCATTGCAGCTCCTCTCAGCCCCATTCTCTTCTGACCTATTGCCAAAATTCCTCTGTATTTCTGAGGTGCTAAAGCCCACTTCTTACAGTGAAATTGAGAGCAACCATGGCAAATAAGTTTTGTCTCTCTTAGATGGTCTCATTTATAGATCGGTAACTATGTATTTATAAAGATTTCGTTGTGTCCACCTCCACTTCTCTTTCCATGTCTATGTCACTTAAACTATGGCAGTAGGTATCTTAATGCAGAACTGCATTTGGTCTTGGTCCACACCCTTTTCTGCTACCTTCCCTCATGACAGTTGCCACATTTAGTTTGATATAATTCAGTCCTTAATTGTATGGTCTAGTCTACCACATTTACAGTAAAGCAATTCCGTATGCACGACTCTTATTTTTCTACTCAAAAAGTGCAACAGCCCAATTACACAGATTTTTTTTAAAAAAAATATTTGCTTTCCTCTTCAACATCTGTTTTTCTTTCTAAACCCTCAGCAATCATAATATTCACATCCAGATTATTTCTGTCCTTTTTATTTCTCCATACTTGCCACAAAAAATGCAAACATCAGAAATTCCTGCCAGACTAATTTCATTATATTTACCGGTAGTTCACTGTGCAATTTAATTTAACTACACATACGTTTTCTTTTCTAAAATACAAATAACAGCATGGGATTTTTTTTTTTTTTTTTGTAAAGACTATCACAATAAAGTCAAAGAAGAACATTACTCCAATTTTATTTTTTGTACCACTGCTAAAATAGATTGCTGAGATAGATTGTAGAGTCAGGCACAAAGCCAATCCTTTTCTCTCATAATAAAATTATCATTTTTCTGCTTATGGTTCTGCTGGACAATATTAATAGGAAACCTTACTGAACTACAGAAATACATTCTTTCAGTAGTAGCTGGAACAGCTGTTCTGCGTCTGCACACATCTTTAACACGTAAACAATCATAAAGCACCTACAGGTGACTCAACAAGGAGAGAAATTTTATTCTATCTTCAGACAGTACTACATTAAACTTACCACCTTAGCCTGTAACTATTTTTTTCAAATTGATATTGCCCGAGTATAAAGCCTCAAAATTCCTACATGGCACCATAAGAGTTTAGGGTTCTCCTGACACATTCACCCCTCTTTCCTTGTGCCAGCCCGAGCACTTGTGCAAGGAAACTGCCCTGCCCAGTAACTGATAACACCACCCTCACACTTGGTGAAAGAGGCAAAGGTGGCACTTCTGGTGCTACCACGGGCAGAGTTGAACACACTGTTCATGTTACAAATCCAAACATAAAAAAAACACAAGCAGTCATAAAACCACAGGCTGAGAAACTCAGACCACTACTTTACATTGACTGCTTTATTATTAAAACCCACATGACTCTAATATCAGCTGGTTTGCAAGAGCAACTACACCATGCAGTGCCAGATGATTCTTATCCCTAGTGACTTTAATAATTACTAGACTGCAAACTCCTTTCTATATTCTCCAGTTTTCTTTTCAGCTTATGCTTCCCAGTCAGAATAATCAACATTTCCACATACACCTATCTCAAAAAGAGAACTGTAACTCCATTCACACCTGCAATTCAAGGCATACTAAAAAAACATGTATTTGAGATATCTTTCAGACAACTTAAGATTCCAACAGAACTTTGAGGGTAAAAACATTGCATTTCTCCAGTGCAATTTCATTAGTTCAGTGTTACTAGATTAATAAATATGCAGTAGGAATATTGCTTTGAGTTTTTGGCACATTAAACCCAATACCCAGGTGTGCAAACAAAGAAAACCAATGTGAAAGCATATTTTTTATTAAATAATCCAAACATCCCCATTTCAAAGAAATATGATTAAGGGTTTGTCTTGTGATTCGTTTTTTTTTCTCTGAGGGCAACACCACAGAAGCTGTTTTACTCAGACTTCCCTGAAACTACAGCTGGCTATGCTTCAGTTTAGTCACTGTCATCAAAGACTGAAAACACACTACCAGTGAGTTTCTCCCCAGTATCACTGTTGATCTTCAGTTTACACAGACCAAGGTTTAATTTGTCCACTATTTTCATAATATTTTTGTGTTCCTTTTTAAATCCTTCCAAATCATTTTACAGTTTTAAATCCAGAGGTGCTCTTGTATGGATGGACAGAACCCAAAGAAAGTCCTATCAAAGTGCAATCAGATGGTATATGCTAATTCAGCATCTGACAGGCTAATCTTGGTGCAGAACTTGAGCTTGAAATAGGAACAACATCAATCTTCATTCTCCTTTAAGGAACTGCTTGGCCAATTTACAACCTTCTGGAAAATTAATATCCAGCCTCTTGTGCCCCAGACTATACAGAGTATTTTACCCAGTAAATTCCTCAGTCTCAACAGTTGTAATCAAAAAGAGAAAAAATTAAAAGTTACTTTTCTACTGCTGTAAGTCTGTTTAGAAAGTCAGAAAGTATGCAATCCCAGACAAGACAAAAATGGCTTTTTATGAGACAAATAAAATTCATAAACACAGGAGTTACGACTCAATTGTACTTCATGATGCAGCCCTCACTAAACCAACTATTATATTCTCTTCTCTGTCTTACATAAGATATTTACTCCTCTCTCTCTCTCCAGAAACAAAAAACCACACCCTAAATAACTTATCACTTGACAGAAAGCATGGCTGCCTATCATTACTGTTTACATAACCGAGAAATTTAAAAGTAAAGATTTAAAAACAAAAAATCATCCCTATTCTGATGTGAGCAGTCAAATAATCATCTGATGTTAACATAAAAGACCATTATCCTAATTTAAAAGGCTTTTTACAGGATTAACCTGTAAAAGCCAAAGGTGATAGCACATATCATCCACAGTTCATAAAACAATGAACATCACTTAAAGGCAGAACAATCCCTGCTGAAATGACAGCATTCAGTGACAGTAAATGAAAAGTTCTTTTCTTCTAGCATTCCACAAAACATTCCCTTCTTGCTGAGAAGTCATGCACAAACCAATTCCCATCATCTCCATACATACTCCATTTGCCAGATGATAAATGTTATAGAAAACCACTGACAGGATCCAGCCATCACGAGTTACCAGAACATAGGTGACTGTCAGGAAACTTTAGCAGAATCTGCCACTTGTAGGGTACTTCTGGACTGACTTACCTTGGCAGACGGTCCCATTCCCCACGTATCCAGGTTTGCAGGTGCAGCTATGGCCCCTGACAGTGTTGGTACAAATTGCATTCTCATCACAGTTATGCTGCCCACTGCCACACTCATCGTGTTCTACAAGGAGGAAAAAGAAAAAAGAAAAAAGTTACATGAGACACAGTGAGCTTTCCAGTGTGATGATGTGGCATTTGAAAACCAAGTGGCATAACAAGGCTGCCACGATGGCTGAACACTGAGAGTTTGGTGTGGGAATCAGCTATGGGTCTGCTTCAGTTCCCAAACTCAACAGGAGCATTAGGTTCAAAAACAGGAAAATAAAAACAATGGGCAAGAAGGCAAAGTACAGCTATGATATAAACCCATGCAGAAGATTATCACAGAAAAATACCTGCTGTGAAGACTAACCTATACAATCACTGTCCTTTTTTTTTTCCGTTTTTAGAGTACCATTCATACCATCAGACCCCAAAGGGTCTCCCAAACAAATGGGCCATATTTTGCTTGCATCCAGCAGCTCCAGCTGCTGCCACGGTGCCTAATTTGCTGCAGTTCCAGCACTGTCCTGCTACGCTTTGTTCTAGCAAAGCATCAGTTCGAGATGGTGAGTTATCCTGAAGCTTCTCACTTTCTCCTGCAATAACCAGGAGCTTCCCTCATGCAGTAGGATTGCAAAAATAAAACCCGGACACTTTACACTGGTGGATTTACAGTTTTGTTCAGTAGAATCAAGAGGATGCAATGAAATGTCTTAAAACTCTAAAAAAGACAATAATCAAAAATCACAATCTGGAACCTCTTTCAGTAGTCTTTATTTATGCAGCTGCAATCAGCAGGCCAGCAGCCATATGCCGAGAAATAACAGGTATCCCCCCCTGGAATTGAGGATTTGCTTCAATATAGCAGTGAACGAGGACTAGAAACTAAATTCTGCCCCTCTCTGTGGTCTGCAGAAGGCTGTGCCTCTAAAACATGAGCAAAGCACTAGTTTCTACAGACTTGGAACTAAGCCCTTTGGAAGAGCCTCTCCACTGAGAACAGGCTCACAGGCTTTGTCAGGCTGAGGGGCTCCTGCAGTGCCCTCGCTGCACCATCGTATCGAATGAGAGCCAATCTGAAGAGAGCTCAAGACACGCGTAGATTTGACCGGAGGATTCCACGGAACCCCCTGAACCAAATACTTCTGGAACATGGCTGATAACTATTTGCAGAACATATATACAATACATGTCTTCAATTTTTCAAATACATTTGACAGCAAAATGATATGGATTGCAAACATTTTCTTTTCAAGAGCATCAAAGCGATATATCGCTCACTCTGCTTTTTGCAAGAAGCTCTCACATACACACTCAAAGGAGCCTGGCTTTAGCTGATAAATTCAAGGCTTGTGTTTATACTTGTTAGTTTATGTTGGTCCCTAGCTCTGCTCAGTAATTCTTTTCAGCTCCGTGCCAGTTTTCAGACACCTCACATATCCCCAGTGCTAGGATTCTTCAAGGGCTGCCCCTGCTCTCCATCTCTGAAGAAACTGTACCGCAGCCTGACTCTTGCCACTCTGGTCTCATGGTGCTGGACTGCTCTGTCAGCCACAGAGCGTATGGAGCTACCCTCCAAGGAAGCACTTGGTACGCAGCTGAAGCTGAACGATGCTTTCTTTGAAAAGAGACACCCTCTCCATAGTCGCTCCCTACTTCTACTAGTTATTCCCATTGGCTTTCACGTGGTCACATTCACAATGTGATGAGAATGCCTTTGTGATAGGCTCACACACACAAGAACATTCCTACTCAGACAACTGCCCAAATTAGTTGATTACCTTCTCAGCGCTTCAAGTGCAAACAAAAGATTTCCCAGTGGTAACGTATGTGTTTTGCCAAAATACACAAGAGGTTATACTCTGCTGCCTTCTTCTAGGGTTTTGACTACATAAATCATTGTATTTACCATTCCTGCAGATGCTGGCAATATTGAAAGATTTAGCCCTGATAAAGCTGCTTTCTCACAGTCATACTTAAAACAGAGGTCAGTTTTTTCTAAGATGACATAATTTGAAGAGTTAGCAACAAATCCAACCATGGGAACCTGCCCTTCGTGAGAAATCCTGATGCTGCTAGCACAAGGACTAAGGGAACCTCATCTGCATGAGGAATCCCAAGATCTCTTAGCAGCAACATGGCTGCAACGATGGGAACTTTAAATTAAGTTTTCCCTGGTGGAGAGATGTCTATAGATGATGTTACTACGGGCCTAATAAGAATGAGAAAGCATTGATTTTCTGTCAGGGTGCAAAAATCTTTTAGTCCAGGTGGAAAGCTCCCTAAGATTCTGTCAGTAGCGAGGTATCTCGGGTTTCCTTCGCCCTCACAAGAGCACTTGGTGTTCACACTGGGAAGCAAACACGGAAAGTGGGCTCATGTTTTGTTTAAACTCAAAGGAGATTATGATTAATTGCAAAGAACATTGCTTTCCAAAATCCCTCACTCAAGCACATCAGACAGAACCTGCTTTGGCTCTAATGTTGTGGTAAACACTACCTGACTAGACAACAAAGAGCGGAAGTGAAGGACACCATGAAACAAGGAGTCACAAATGGTATCACTCCAAAGCACCAAAACAGGGCAGAGCCAAGACAAAAATCTCAAAGTCCTATCTAATTTTGACAATTCCCTTTTCAGCTGAAAATGAGAAGCACAAGAAAGGAGACTCTAAAAGGCAAAACGAAAAGTAACAACTTTTTTCATACACAGACATATATATCTAGATATAAATATGCTGCCATGTTTAAAAATTAAACTGTCATTGTTAAATTTGACTGAAGTCACCCATCTCCCTGTGCCTTTTCTTCATTTATATTATACAGACAAAAGCAGCTTATGATCAAAGACAAAAAGAACTGAAGTCACTTACTGAGAAGGACAGTACTGTGGGATTGTCATGGTTACAGGGGCTGGGACCAGTTTATCCTTATGTGGGTAGAACCAAAACTGTATATTCTATACTCTCTATGTCAGTGCTCATGGGCTGTTAAGAAAATCATGGGTAGCAGCTGCCCAGGACAGACCTCACACCCCAGGCTATAACAGATAAGGAAAGAGGTTCAAGGTCAGGGGAGATGTTAACACCTTCCCACCCAGCAGGAGGAGTCCTCCCTGTTAATGGGCCCATCCATGCCTCGCCCCATGACTCATACAGAACTCCCCCCAGGAGCTATTTCTGTTTAATGGACCATCAAGGACCCACTGCATGACTCATAGACTGATATCAACCCATTGTGAGATGCTCCACCCAGGGGGAGGAGCCAAGTGCTCCCACCTGGATATAAACTGGGGTCCAGTACAGCACAGGGGGTCTTACCCACTGGATTTCCAGAGGACAAGAGCTACCAGATCTTTTCTACGAGACCACTGTTTCATCTGGACTGCGACCGCCACCCTAACTACAGAGTGTCAGGTTGTATTCTGACTCCGTTTGTGGTTTTCCTTTGTATTATTGCTTTTATTTTATTTTTTTCTTATTAAATTGTATTTCTGACTTGGAGTCTCTCACTGGTTTGTTTTCAAACCATTACAGGGATGCAATTCCCTGACCCAGCACTCCTTCCCCTGGATTATTAATATCAGTTTCAAGAAACAAATATCGTTTCAGAAAAACAGTTACAACAGCAGCACCATTCTTTGCTTACAGACAAGTCAGTTTATGAAATATTTTACAATTATTTCCAGCATTAGTATTTCTGTTACTCCTGAATCCTGGTCCTTGCCATCTCTGTTCCACGCTTTGTGGTAAAGCTGAGAGATCAGCTACTTTTCTGCACCTCTATTTCCCTCTACCAAATGAGGATATTACAAGATCCTGTGGGTTTTTCCTAGTATTTGTCATTCTTCAGAAATCCTCAAATACCAAGTATTTTACAGGAAATTAAAGATTGTCAATCTTTTATTAAAAAAAAAACAAAAAAACAAACCATGAACTGCTGGTTTACCTTCAACTTACTTTGTCTGCAAGCAAAGATGAGGTATGAAAGGACAAAACACCTCTGAAGCTCCACCTCACCTGTCCCCGTTTCCTAGCCACCAAGCTACACCTGAGGTCAGTGAACTACACATTTAAACCTAATATTTTCCTCCACGATAAAAACCTTTTAGAATTTCTAAACTCTTCCATAAACTTCTCCAAAACCCTCACAGTACACTATTTTCTGAGTTCATACCTGAAGCAGGCCAACTTGTGAAGCAGTGACTACAAAGTTCACCCCTTCCTCAGCCTTTATCTGAGGATGGCCAGCTGCCTCCACAAGCACTTGAAAGATCTCTGGTAGGAAAACAGCCATCCTTTTACAAAAACACACCTCGGCCACCTCTGCTGTGGGACTCTCAGGAATCGTGACACGTATCAACTGCGTGTGTCCTCTATGCACATATTAAGCAATACTTCTGTTTTGAAGAGCTAAGGCTTTTAAAACAAACCTCTACAGAAAACATCTATTTGAAAAAGCAGTCACTGGGAAGTCAACCCTGGCTAACTGCTTGCCTCAGGCAACTGAAATTGCATTGACCTGAACAGAAGACCAGTGTAATAGCCCGACAGGTCCGGGGACATCCATGTTTGTGTGGGCAGTGTTACGTGACAGCACATGCACAGCAGTCAAAGATAAGTATTATAGTTATCCCTGCTTTGTTCACAGGCAGCCTAATAAGTTTATCTTGAGGACTGAAATGCTCAGGAGCTGACAGAATCAGTTTCAGTATTGCATGGCCTTGCAGAGACAGCAATCACATAAAAAGCAAAGTTAATTCACCAGAAAATACTTTCAAGTAGACAGTTAGTTGCATTTCCTATTGTAAGAAGCACCAATGCATCCTACAAATGGCACAAACACACCTCATACCAAAACAGACTGGTCTATAAGCACAGAGACATTAGGGCACACACAATATCTCCTTTATCCTGAAACCCCAGAGAAGAAACAGTTACAGTACAATGGGAAAACACAAACAACCTCCTGTTAAAGTCTCCATAACAAAAAATGAATAAAAACCTGCTGAAACAAGCACAATTCCCAGACTGCCACACAGAGAGCAATGACCACACTGCATCCTCGTGTACTGGGGCGT